TTATTTATTTTTTTTTGTAATATATAGTAAACTCTACATATAGAGCTGGCGCTATTATTCTAATTTCTAATTTATCGTATACTATTTATTAAAAAATGTGAAAAGTATAAAGCCTATATGTATATATTTTTATAGACGTTATAAACATGTGCAAATATTTAGACATATGTTGTTTATGTATATACAAATGTATGTATGCACATCCATAGTTGTATTCACACATCTACACATGAACACTAAAACATCTTTTCTTAACGTTTCCACATATTTGTATATGCAAACACTCATCACTTATTTTAAATATTTCTTCTTGTAGTTTTATCTTCTTATCTAGTTAATAACCCCAATACGCGTCGAATTCAAGTTGTCGCGATAAGCAGTTATATTTTGTTTAAAATACGAATGAGATTAAATTATTTTTAGGTAGTTACTTAACAAGCTTTCACGAAGAGGATGTGATGCTATTTAAGAACATCAATTTTACGTTATTTTTTTATACCCTCAAGAACTTAAATTGATCGTTCACTTTGTATGGCAATAAAAAAATATTCAATACAAGAACTAGATTTTGATCGAACTGTTTGTATGACAGCTATGTGCTATAGTAGTCCGATCGCAACAATTTGTTCAAAGATTGTGGCATTGCCTTGCAAAATGTTCTATGCGAAATTTCGTGAAGATATTTCAGTAAATAAAAATGTTTTCCCTACAAGAACTTCATTTTGCTGGATCAGTTTGTATGGCAGCTGTTTAATATAGTGAATCGATCTATTATTTTTTCTATTTCTTCGGCACAATACCTAAGGTAATAATCCATGTAAAATTTCTTGATGATATCTCGTCCAATGGAAAAGTTTTCGATACACGCACTGTATTCCGATCAGTCAGTTTCTATGACAGCAATGTGCTATAGTAGTCCGATATCGACGATTACGGCAAATGAGCAGATTCCTGAGTATAAAAGCATGTGTTCAAAATTTCAGATCGATATCTCAAAAACTGCGTGATAAGTTTGCATATACATATATTTATACAGACAGACAGACGGATATGACTAAATCGACTCAGCTCAACGCAGATCTCTTATATATATACCACTGAGTCACAGTCGTAAAAAGTAAGATAGGAGAAAAAAATGACAGAATTTTGAAAACAGTTGAGTTTAACTCAATATTTTGAACAGACAAAAAAAAACAAAAATGGTAACTCATTGCGTGAAGAAGTATATACAGAACATGTTGAATCGTTTGTCTACGTGTAACAACTCAAATATATTTAAAATATGCTGTTTTGAGAAAAATGAGTTTGAAAATATAATAAACTGAAGTAGTTGAATGGTTACACTTTAGATGCATGTAACTCAAAATTTTTTGAAATTCGCATTTCCAATTCTAATAGGTTATTTCTGAAAATTTATATTACTGATAAAGCAAGAAAATATCTGAAGTTTTCTACCGAAAATTCATAACAGGTGGTGTGGTCTTCCTCAAAAGTGTCATAAGTCCAATTTGCTCACTCTGCCTATTCTCCCGTATAATTTCAAATATCAGTGAATCATTTGCGCAATCGATTTAAGTGAACCTCTTATCGAGTAAATTTCTCGCTTAACTACGTGTATATATACATATGTATATTTAAATTACCTTAGTTGCTACAGGCGTAAATGTTGTCATTAATATACAAAAAGCAAAAAAAAAATCACAAGAAAATTATTCGAAAAAATATTCAAATTTTTAAAATAAAGTATTTATATATTATATAACTATGTAAATAAATATTAACATTGTAAATAACACCCGCTCTTGCGCCATTTTTGTACACACTCCCTGAAGAGTCAACCACGCAGCAGAGCTTTCGCACTTGCATATATTACCACAAATAATAGCGCCGATAGCAGGTATTAATATGTGCTTTTTTAATTGACTACAAACAATTTATTTACTAAATTTATATCTCTTTATTGTTAGCCAAGCGATAAGCGTGCCTGTTGGAGCTTAAAGCTTCTTCAGCTTTCCAGTTCATGTGTTTATTCAACCGTTATCTCTCATAGCACAAGTGTGCTTTTTGGCCAATTTGCCAGTAGTCCTGCCTCGAATATGGCTAACAACTAATGTGGCAGCGTTTATTAATTGACATACATACTATGCATATGTATATTTATTTGTCATTTCATTTGTATTTAACTTTCGCATCATTTATTCTAATTTGCTTGGCCTCCAACGTGTGAAAGCTGCGGCGTGTGAAGCGCTTCAAATTCTTATTCGATGCTGCTGGAAACAATTTTGATAGAAAAAAACGTTTTTTATACAAGCATTTTTTCCGATAAGAAATTTCGCTGTGGCGGAGCGATAAGCAATGGCTTTTATTTTTTACTTTATAGAAATTATACGCTGTTAATCACCGACGACAGACACGAGTTGTGGCTATTATTCTTTGTTATTGTAAATACTTGTAGCTGTTCGTGCTTTGTGAGTTTTACTTCGGAGCATTCTAAACTATTGGATGTATTGACATTATGACATACATACATATAGCAGAGCTTTGCTGTCAGATGATTCAAGCTGAGTTCAAAATAAGCTTCATTTTTATTTTTTCTTAATGCAGTAGGGAGAATTTGCAAGGTTTTCTCAGGATGTACAGTTGCATTTTGAAAAGCTTTGTGTTTCATCGTCAAGTTATTTTCATATTCCCATGATTGTACTTATTGTATTTTTTAGTCTTCATATTCGGACGTGCATTTTTTTTTTTTTTTTGCCTCTTACTATTACAAAAAAATATATACTTTGCTAAACTTATCACTGAAAAATAAAGCAGGTTAAATTCTAGGTTAATTTTTTTAATGGAATAGGAATACATGCTGATAACAGGATAACGTAAGAAATCAAAAATTGTTCAAATTTCGGTTCGAAGTCTTATTGTTTTGATTGTTAGAAGTATTTGTAAACTCTTTGGTCTTCACCGATCTGTAGTTGTAATATTTCTGATGTCCGTTCACATACCAGAAATGAATTGGAGTTTATTCCTAACAATTTATTTTAAATTGTCGACAGTATTCTTCCTTACTATACGGTTCCAAAAAAATTCTCACCACTATTTGCTGCTTTAGTCTTCGGTTTCTTAAAAACAGCATGTTCCATTTGTTTACGTCGGTATGAAAGCACTAAATTTCTTAAAAACATCTCATCTCATATACAATCATGACATCATCTAGTATTTTTTACTGTATTTACATAACTTCTTCGATTATGTATATTGAGTTCGCCATAGGTCTGAGTCATTGCTTAAAAACGATTTGATTTTCAATTGTCACTATTAAAGAAAATAAAAATTTCCTTGATCCGATCTTGAGGAGGATTTCCGAAAAAGATCTGCAGATTTTTAAAAAATAAATAATAATAATAATAATTTAAACAAAAAAAAAAGTATTATTACTTTAGCTTAATACAGTCGGTCGATCGAAGGACTAGTCAAAACTAACCAATCACACTTGAAAGTGACTTAAAAATCGAATTTATTGCCAAAATATTATTCCTTCCATCATTACCTGATAATACTATATATCTAAGGATACCACGTAAAATTTTCAAGCTGATCGGTCCAGTCGTATCGCTGAAATTATAACCCCTTAAATGATATATAAATTTAAAGCGGAACTGATCGAGAATCTTTCAATACCCATGATTTGGTAAAATATGTGCACTTGACAAAACACCCTGTAAAAATTCGTAATTTTCACTCAACGTGCCGTCAGTTCAACAAAATGTTCTAAACATATTGGTTGTCAAAAAAGTTTTGCGGTATTTGTAGTTGGCGCTGAGAGCGCACAGTTCTAGTTTTATTCGTCGCATCGAGTCATGCTATACCTTTTTGGAAAGCTCATTTCACGCACTAACACGTGTTTGATTGATTGTCGTTTCTTTTAAGTCGTTCGTGAGTTATAGCGTCGCAAACATGGAGCAAAATAAAGAGAAAATACGGCATATTTTACAGTAATACCACGATAAAGGCAAAAATGCATCTCAAGCCGCCAATAAAATTTGTGAAGTTTATGGACCCGATACATTTTCCATTTCCATCTCACAATGATGGGTTCAGCGTTTTCGTTCTGGTGTAGAGGTGGTCGAAGATGC